TTGCTATATGCAAATCTTACTAATGCAAAAGTAGCCCTATACATTTCGAGAACACATTGACGTATTGGCTTAAAAAGCTGGGCCCAAAGAAGTCTTTAAGTCTAAATTGACGAAATTGACTTAAGGCAGAATATCCGAATATCCTTAATCTCCCGTGTGCCCTAAAACTCTGTCCTCTGTTCTATATTTAACTTCCGGAATGAAGTCATTATGCTAACTAGATTTGCCTGCTCTGGCTATGATGCAAGATGTCTAATGAGTAAAACGTCTGTAAGCAACCGATATCAAAGGGGTGAATCATTCTTGTTCATGACTGTTGGTAAAAATCTGACACTCATCCATAGTAGATGAACTTTATTGACCAGCATAGTCCAAATGACAAATATTCAGAGAATGTTTTGTCTTCTATCAACTGTTGAATGATCCTATTGCGGTTAAGTAGGGGGTTATAATTACCAACATATTTCAGTGTTTCCAAAAACCATCGCTTCTGTATTTCAAGAATAGTTTTTACTTGTAGAGTTAAAGAAATCATGATTTGAGGTAAATTAGAAAGCTAACATACAGTCAATACACACAGTCTGGCCTAACTAACTCATCACTTTGGATTTAAGCAAGCAAATATGATGATTTAATCTAAATTGCAGTGACTGCTTTTTCCATAAAATGACTGACATTCCTTTTCTCTTCTCTACTCCCACCATTAGTATTTATGTTCATCTCTTTGCTCTTAGGCTCTTGAGGTTTATTTGATTGGTTTCATTTATTTCTAGCTAAGCGAATGCATGGACCAGCAAGTTCGCCGTCTTTCCTGATACCAGATGATGTCGTCATCATAGAGGATGATGCTGCTGATGATGTCATGGTGGTTCGCTCTGTTCAGATGGCTGAGGATGAAGCTTACGCCAGAAGCCTACAGGTAAAACCAATGTCTCACTACTGTTTAAATGTGCTTTCCTCCAAGTGGATGACCCTGAATACAAGTGTAAATGGGCTCTAAGACAATTTCCCATTTATAATTGTTTGGTTTTATTTATAGGCAAAAGAAAAGGCAAATGTTTTCTGATGGAAAGATTCAGCTTTATAAATGACTTAATAAAATCTCTGAATCTCATTGATGTGGGGACAGTAAATAAATAAAATCCAATGGTTAGTACTGTCTTAAATTTGCAGCACATTTAAGTTTTTACTTTCACAAAAATAAATTTGACTACAGATTTGTTTTTTTTTTTTGTTTTGTTTTTTACATTTATTTTAATGATTAGATGACAAAACACTGGTCTTGGTGTCTCATGTCGTCATATACAATAATGCAGCCATCTATTGTAAACTCATCCATCAGCTAGTAATTCAAGTCTTTTGTGAAGGGTGACGTTAACAAAAAATCCAATCTTTTAATATACATTCTTCAAAAACGCCCACAGAGTTCCAGATTTGCCAAACACCAGTTATAAGTCAGGTTTTTCTGAAGCAAAATTAAGAAAAGGAACAAAACTAAAGAAAAAAATCAGATCAGTCTTTTCTTCTTACACCCTGAATTGGTTCATTTCTTTGATCAAATGGTTATGCTTAATTAATAAAATCATTAGTGTGCTGTAAATCTATTTTATGCAAAGCTACATAACATTTAAAAGAAGCTTGATGAATTGCATTAAATGTTTTTTTATATTAAAGATATAATAAAATGATTGTCGATGTTCTAAAATGTTTGTTAAATAGATTTCAATGTCGACAGTCGTGCATAGAAATGTTAATCTGGTATAAACGGCTATATGAGATACTCTTCATCATCAGGTGTAAATGGTAACACATCTCCATCGTCAACTACTTGCCTTTTGCTCAATTAGGTCACATCTTAACATCAGATGTGAACTGATGGTGTTTTTGCTGTGTGCAGGAACAGTTTGACATGGAGGAGCGAATCGAGCAGCAGCAGAGACAGTCCAGCATAAACAACCACAACCATAACCATGTGGTCAGTTTGTTTTTAATTTCTCCGCTTTATTTCTGCTCTTTCACTTCAGAGTGCTGAACGCTATTTTGTTGGTTTCCTGCAGGTTGACTCATATGTGGGTTTGGGCTGGATCCCTCCGTGGGCCTCAATGATCAGCTCTTCATCTTTCACACACACCCCCTCCGAGCTGTCAGAGCTGCAGCAAGTCATCTTTGGAGAGCAGCCGCGTAAGTCAACATCCTTTCATCACTTTAATTTAAAGCTGTTTTGTGTTTGAAGTAAATCATAGTTTATTACTAATTATTGATCTGCATTGATTCATTTAGCAGACACTTTTGTCTGTAGTGACTTCTACATGAGGAGTATAAAAGCAATAGTCAATGAAAAAGTGATGTTGTGCCAGTGCTGTGACAAACTGGTAAATTAATAATTGAATAAATCAGTGTTAAATTAAATGACATTAAGATGTATTAGTTTTATAAGTACTAGAAATTATTATTTTCATATTTTAAATGGTTTGTATTTGTTACTGTAATTGTTCAAATTTTATATAAATGATACTTGATGTTACAATTATTATATAAATAATTATATAAACTATATTTGAATAAATTGTGTACTTATTAGTAATAAAAAGATCAATCGATCAATAATATATTGATGTTCATAAAATGTATTTATTGTTTTATGTATTAGTTAATACTGTAAATATATCATCTGCATCAAAAAACTTCAGTGAACTTATTTCTTCTGTTAATAATGCAACATTTTATTTCCAATATCACTTTACTTTTTATACTTTATATGATGTGGGACACATTACTTCAGTCTCACTAAAAGGGTCACGAAACACCAAAACCGTTTTCGAGCTGTTGACAGTCATATATGTGTCCCACACTGCTATAAACACTATTAGGACACAAATAAATATACTATAAAGTGAGAATTGGTTGTTTTTGTGTTTTTTTAAGCACATTTGTTTTTCCAGTTTTAAACAAATTTTCGAAGCTGCGTCACGGCGAATAGATACTTGTGTATATTCCAGTGTGGAGACTGGATGTCAGTACCTGCGAGTGCATCGTGACGTTTCTGAGTGTGCAGCATTAATTCATGACGACAGACTTGGTTCAACCAATCAGCGTGCTCTATTGTAAATGTGCCGCGGTGCAACTTCAATAATATGCATGATAGCTTCGAAGACTTTGTGTTGGCAAAACAAGTGGAAGAACAAACATTTGGAGACAGGGGTTGTCAGTGTTGCGTTTATTAATGTGCTGCAAGGAAGGTTTTGTTTTCATTTTTCCCGCACAAGTTGTGCTGCTTCTTTGTCTGGAAAGCGTATTGTTTTATTAATCATTTTGTGCTTAGTTTTTTTTTTACTAGAACTTTAGAAGAACAGCATTGATGTGCTACAGAAATACATAAATTAAATAAAAATATGTAAAGGTTATTTGATTTGATTTTCCTTTGATTGGACAGACAGACAACAGGGCCGACGTCAAACAGGCCGAACTCGAGCTTCCCGTCGCAGACCTGCTGCTCACCTGCAGATGGACTTGTTTAATGACAGCCAGGGAAATAATTATGAGGTCTGAGATATGCTGATGCACACTAATCACAAGACTTTCCGTAAAACCATGTTTCCTCATGTGTAATATTGCTTTATCAGGCTCTGTTAGCGTTTGAGGAGCAGCAGGGTGCTGTAATGGCCAAAAACACTCTGAGCAAGGCTGAGATTGAGCGGCTGCCCATCAAAACATACGATCCCACACACAGCGCAGGAAAGACAGAGTAAGTCACAGAACAGGACGCTGAAAAGAGACATTTCCCACAATGCATTATTTTAATCATCCTCTCTTTCTCTGTGCAGCTGCCAGATCTGTTTCAGCGAGTATAAAGCGGGTGAACGGCTCCGGATGCTGCCATGTCTCCATGATTACCACGTCAAGTGCATCGACCGCTGGTTAAAGGTCTGACTGCTTTACTGATATCAGTTCACAGTGTTTTTACTAGTTATGGGTGAAATGAAGCTTTGAAACCATTTTGCTTTAAAAATGATTTAGATTCAAAGCTTTTACAACACCACATGCTAGGGACACCTGACATTTTCCCCAAATAAATTACATTGACCGTATAACCTGTAAGTGCACTTAGCTCATCTAATAGCATTAGGTGTCTGCATAATGTGTGCTTTTATACATTTTTATGGCTTCTGACTGTTGTTTGTTCCATTGTGTTTCATTTTACAAATGCCTCAAAACGTTTACAAACTAGTTAAACTGATCCGGGACCTATAAATACAAATAAAAAAACTGTTCCGTGTTTGACCATTGTGTGGGCCATCTGAATGGGCTTTATGCACAGCTAGTGTTTTTCTGCCAATGATGAACATCCGGTGAAAGCGTCATGTGACTTTTTTCAATTTCATACGGTTCCTTTTGCTAAAGTGTAAAAAGAGATGAAAGACCGTTTAAATTCAGATACAGTCATAAGCTGCAGGCTAGCACAGAAATTCCATAAAAAATACTGGCATAAAATTAACTGTTATATTTTAAAGACATGGCGCAAAATATAATTGAATGCAGTGCTTCTTGTTTGGTCTGAGACCTTTTAAAAAAATCGCATTCTAAACGCTGCGATTTTGTAAGCGATGACAAATAACTGGAAGCCCTGGCTGAAATTAAAAGTCTGTGTGCATATACCCCTTTAACCCACAATGCCCTCCAATGGAAAATCATTACATTTCTGAACTGGATTGACTTTAGCTGACAATATATCAAAAAATGTATCATTATCGTTATGATGAATTAAGTTAATTTTATTTTTCTCTGGTTGTTTATCCAAATTTGATTATTCAGATGAGCCTTTATTAGGTTTAACCCCGCCTCTCCAGTAGGTGCTGTTAGGTGAACCTAGAGCTGAAAATAAATACTAATGCTGGAAGAAAACTGAGGAAAATGACAACAGCCAATAAGAATCCAAATTTACACAGGGTTCGAGTCATTCATGGTGTTTAAGTCTAAATATTTTCACATTGACAGTTTTATTTAGATCAAAAACATATTACCTGTTTATTTTAGTATGATCGTTACAGAAGTTTAATTGCTAATAAAAAGTGTATTCAAATGAGTTATATTACTATCGCAACACTCAACGACAGTGCATATCATGTTCCCAGTATCATGCAGTCCTTGTAATGACATAAGAAAAGCTGTTTACTGAAATCACATGACCTTACAGATTTGAAAACTGCTCTGAACCACTAATCCAAAACAAAAGCTTCATAAAGGTTTCAAAGCTTCAGTACATTTGACTAATCTTATTCATCTTCTCTTCCAGGAAAACGCCACTTGTCCGATCTGCAGAGCAGATGTATCTGAGTCCGGTGGTTTTTCTTGAGCGTTCAGTTTCAAGACTCAATATCTACCTCACAGTTGGTCGTGTTTGTCTTTTAAACAGTCTTAATTTAAGTGTTATCTAGCGCTTTTTAAATGTCATATCGTCCCATTTACCAGCGTAAACCACTGCCAAGTAAACCATTATGAATATATTTCCTTTGAAAACAGACAGACGCTATCATAGCAGTGGCCACAAGCACTGATAGCAATAGTGCAACTTGCATTTGTTTTGACTTTGAAATAAAAAAAATCCCTACATGTTTTGCCTGATTTTGTTGTTAAATGTTTTCGTGTAATCAAGTGAAACATTTAGAATTTCAAACCTCCATTTTCTGATGACAACTTGATACCTTCCTGACCCCTGACTTGCTCCAAACCACTTTGAATTTTTTGTTCTGTTGAACACAAAAGAAGTTTGAAACCTGTAACCACTGACTTCTAGAATATGTGCTTTCCCGACAATGGAAGTCAATGGCTACAGGTTTCCAACATTCTTTAAAGTATCTTGTATTCAACAGAACTGGTTTGGAACTGGTTAAGATTGAGTAAATGACAGAATGTTCATGTTTGCACTGTTTGTCTCTTTAAGACAGATTCACTCTGCTTCATAATAGCGTTTCTTCAAGGCTCTGTACTTGCGGAGGTAATACAGCGCTTCCAGCTCTTTCACCACAAATTCTCCTCGGCTGATGAGCTGTTTGATCTTGTCAGGGTCTCGCATATCTTTATTTTTGGCAAACGCAGCCCTCAGTCTTTCCCTGAAGTAGTCTGCTCCTTTCGGATACTCCCGTCCAAGAAACAGCAACTTCAAGCATAAGAATCAAAAGAGAGGATTATGACAGTCTGCTGCCCTGAGATGCAGATTATTACTGCTTTTATTCCCCTGATTTTAGTGTTCAGCTCTTTAAAGGCGCTCGCTTGTTATGAGTGAACTGCAGACCTGACACTGAATGCGAATCAGTGTTTCAATGTCTCAGTAAAATTACTGATCAAGAATATTCAGAAGCTGAGAGTGACTATTAAATAAATACTGGCACGATAGCCCCTTTAATGAAGATAATGACACTAAATACACTACTATTGGCAGACTGGGGCCAGTTGCCACTTTTTATACCAATTAATATTTTGAAAATGGAAAAATGTTAATGCAAAAATCAACAGCATGGCAGAGAAATGGATTACGCCATTGCATTGATAATTCATACATGTGATTCTGAGAATATGTGCTGCTCTAGATTAGTTTGTAATCAAAATATGAAACCAAAGAATCAAAATGAAATTTGGTCTGTTTGTCGAGACATATGGACTTGAAATTGAGTTTAAATTTGAGTGGATACTCTAAGCATTTTATTATAGTTGCTAGGGTGTTTTAAACATACCTTTTGTAGCATGTTTTATAACCGCTAGCATGTTTCAACCCTTGTGTACTGTTCAAATGTACTATTTTTTATGTTCAGGATTAAAACAATCACTGAATTAAACTGCTGTCAAAATACATCAGATAAATATTTTTTCTAAAACATTTTGCATAAATTTGTTAATCTACCTCAGTCCCGATCAAAACTACTAAATTGCTTAGAAAATTATAGGATTTTAAATAATTGGCAAATTCAGAAATGTCACTGATTTAGTGAGGAAAAAACACAAATGACGAATTTTCAGTATAAAAGTAATTGTGGACTGGATTTTCTAAACTTTTATCACAGTCTTGGACATGTGAATGGTCAGTAATGTTGGCTTTGACACATTGTTAGATTTTCATTTCTATCCCCCTATATTACTGTTGGTGGCTGTTTTGCTCCTTTGACTTGAATTATAACCATTTGATGGTGAATAAATACAGTCTTTGTTTTTATTTAATCCATGTAGTTCCGAGGGCTGGATGCTTATTTTGATTTTCTCAGGCACATTAAGGTAAGTGGGTAAAGGTCACACACACACACACACACACACACACACACTTTGCTGTTATACTCCATACAAAATGCAGAAACTAAGCTTTCTTTGCACAGGCCTATCTAAAAGGTTAATGGTGCCAACTGATGATCGACAGTAAAAATGACAATTTTGACCTCTTCCCAACAGGGAAAAACAGCAACAATTAAAAATGCTGGATTATATGGTGTCTTGGTTTTGTAATAAAAAATGGCTATAATGACAGTCAATGGGGTAAAATCAGCCACCAACAGAAAATTAGGGAGAAAAACTGAAAATGAATCCAAAACACTGCATCAAAGGCAATGTTGTTTCACGTGTTCAAGACTTAAATAAGAGGTTAAAAAATCCAGTCCACAATTACTTTTTTATATTTGAAGATTTGTGTTTTTTTTTTTTCTCCAAATCAGTGACATTTAAGAATTTGCCAAATAAAGTTAAAATCCTGTATTCTTCTAAACAATTTAGTAGTTTTGATCTGGACTAAGGCTGATTAACAGATTTCTGCAAACAAAACAAAAAAAGAAAAGAAAAAAATATCTGATGCATTTTTACAGCAGGTTAACTCTACTGTAGGGTAGTAAACTTGCCCAGAGTGTATTGTTGATTATTTTCTCAAAATATGTGTCAAAATAAGATGTGATCAAAATCATTCTGTTCACTGAAACAAAACAAAGTTACGGCCAAATTAGGATTCAAAATCAGCCCAGAGTGGATGAAAACATCCCCAACAGCACGCAAGGGTTACACAATATTTGCATTTTTGCCACACTGTCAGCATGCTTTAAATATATTTTAACCACACTCTTTTATATTTATGGTATTTAAAGTTAGATTTATTTAGTTTCAAAAGAAATCATTTGCTGTTACTGTTATTCCACTAAATCAAAGAGCTTAGAATGAAATGGTAATTCTATGCTCCGACTAAATATTGATTTCACCAGTCACCTGTCGTTCTTATGAAGCGACAGATAGTTGTCACTCCATGTAAACAAGACAAGTTTCTTATTATCAACAATTTGGATTTTTTTTTAATTTGGACATTTTAATGTGATGTAAAATCAGAAGGGGGCAGTGTGTAACTCACGGCTTTGTAGAGCTGCTTTACTTCTGCTCGGAACGGGTTTGCCATTTCTCAGGGTTCAGTCGGATTTCTGTCAAATAAACTGCAAACAAAACGAACATGTAATTTCAAGACGTGATAAAAAATGTTTAAGACGTAAAACTGAAAGAGACCAAGTTTATTTTTAATCTACTTACTAGCAAATTGCCCTTTGAACGCAATGAAAACAATCAGGATTGCAAACTTCTCCGGTCATCGAAAACAACTTCAAAATAAAAGTCCTCAGGAATCTTCATAAAAATGACAAATGACTTACAAACGGTACGTTCTTACATATAATAGACCAACAAGAAACTTTTTCACAAACGGCCAAAAACCAAACTTAATTGGTGCTAGTAAGGTAAATATAGTTACCGTGGGTGATTTCCTAATTTATTCAGTGATATTGAAAATGACTAGAAACATTGTTTTATATTAACTAATACAGTATATATATATTTGCAATTTAAAATAAACTTATTACAGTAAAAACAAAACAATCTCATTTATAACAGAATTACACAAGTTTTTGCCTTGATTTGCTCGCCGATATCTTCTGCATAGTTCTCTCTCCATCGAGTGACTGAATCTGATTTGTAAAAATGTGAACACTTTTACAATAGTTAATTGAAATATTTCTTTACAGTTTGCTAATTTGTAGCTCAGCAATAAAACAAACAAAAGAATGTTATGTTAAATTACAAATGACTATAAAGGCATTTGCCCCATCATTTTCAAACTCTTCTCAGGTGGGATGGTGGACCAAATCAAAGGTTACAATGGTAGTGACCTACTTTGGGGCATCTCTGTATTAGACATAAGCACTTCCTGACTACAAATATGTTTTCGGTACATAAAAAACATAACTCACTGCACAGTTATGAAAACACAAATTTGCAGAAATAATTTATTTAGGCCAGTCCATAGGAAGACGTCTTACAAATGTGGATTAATAGCACAGTGTACAGGACAATAGTTTGGAGTTAGTCATTTCAAAATTGTATAAAACTGATTGCAACTATTTGTTGTGTATTAAAGCACTTGCATTCATAGAACCTACAGCAGCAGTGCTCAACCCTGTTCCTGGAGATCTACCTTCCAGCAGATTTCAGTTGCAACCCACATCAAACACACCTGCCTGCAATTATCATGTGCTGTTCAGGTCCTAATTGATTAGTTCAGGTGTGTTCAGGGTAGATCAGGGCTGGAGCTGAACTCTGCAGGAAGGTAGATCTACAGGAACAGGGTTGAGCACTTCTGACCTACACACACACTTCTGAAGCGAAAATACAAACATATCTATGTTCACCAGTGTCCTTTCTTCATTTTTGGCATGCAGTTTTCAAAAATCATGTGGCAAAAATAGGTTGCAAAATCCACACTGAGATGTCTATTCACTCTACTCATCCTAAGTGCCAATACATGTAGTTTTTCAGTAAACTAGTCAGGATGTACAACGCACACCTTGGAGAGAAAACAAAATGAGTTCTTTTCATTTCCATCTGTTTTTATGGCATAGAAATCTTACAAAAACACTCTTCATGAGCTGAAGCGGATATAAAAGTGTGCCGATATGACAAACAGAGTGAAGGCACTGGCAGACACATGAGCCTGCTCTAATAGTTGGCTCGTAGTCTTTTGTTTTCCTCTTTCAGTCTTTCGATCTCTTCGACGAGCGAGTCGTTCACGGAGTATTTCTCAATCAGACCGTGGATTTCATTCTGGAAAAGATGAGTGGTGTTATTATTAGGGGTGTAATATTCAGCTTTATTTCATTTTCTGGCTGCTTCAAGAATGATAGTTTGTGAAAGAGACCGAGTTACCAACTGGATGTAGAACTGGCGAACCATCTCCACCTGTAGATTGATGATGTCTCGATGACACGTGTCTCTGTGTATAACAGTCAAACTGTATCAGTCTTTTTACACTCAGAAACCGTAAATACATAAACAGGACATACTAATTTATAATATATATATATATACTGTATATAGGTTTAATGTTTGTGTTAGTCTTAGATTTATTTTTAATGTTTATATATTGCTTGAATAGTTTTCGATGCCCAACATGTTACTTTTATTTTCAATTTATCAAAACTGACAGTTTTAGTAATAGATTGCAGTTATATACACTCACCGGCCACTTTATTAGGTACACCTGTCCAACTGCTCGTTAACACAAAATTTCTAATCAGCCAATCACATGGCAGCAGCTCAATGCATTTAGGCATGTAGACATGATCAAGACGATCTGCTGCAGTTCAAACCGAGCATCAGAATGGGGAAGAAAGGTGATTTAAGAGAGTTTGAATGTGGCATGGTTGTTATTGCCAGACAGGCTGGTCTGTGTATTTCAGAAACTGCTGATCTACTGGGATTTTCATGCACAACCATCTTTAGAGTTTACAAAGAATACTCTGAAATGGAGAAACTATCCAGTGAGCTGCAATTCTGTGTGTGCAAATGCCTTGTTGATGCCAGAGGTCAGAGGTGAATGGCCAGACTGGTTTAAGCTGATAGAAAGGCAACAATATACAGAAGAGCATCTCTGAACGCACAACACGTCCAACCTTGAGGCGGATGGGCTACAGCAGCAGAAGACCACACCGGGTGTAACTCCTTTTAGCTAATAACAGGAAACTGAGGCTGCAATTCGCACAGGCCCAGCAAAATTGTACAATAGAAGATTGGAAAAACGTTGCCAAGTCTGATGAGTCTCAATTTCTGCTGCAACATTCAGATGGTAGAGTCAGAATTTGGCATCACAAACATGAAAGCAGGGATCTATCCTGCCTTGTTTAAGGGATATTTTCTTGGCACACTTTGGGTCCACTGGAACCAATTGAGCATCGTGTCATTGCCTCAGCCTACCACTGTATTGTTGTTGATCATGTCTATCCCTTTATGATCACAGTGTACTCATCTTCTGTTGCCTGCTTCCAGCAGAATAATGTGCCATGTCATAAAGCGCAAATCATCTCAGACTGGTTTCTTGAACATGACAATGAGTTTACTGAACTTAAATGGCCTCCACAGTCACCAGAGCTCAATCCAATAGAGCACCTTTGGGATGTGGTGGAATGTGAAATTTGCATCATGGATTGCAGCCGACAAATCTGCAGTAACTGCTGTGATGCTTTCATGTCAATATGGACCTAAAATCTCTGAGGAATATTCCCAGTACCTTGTTAAATCTCTGCCATGAAGGATCAAGGCAGTTCTGAAGGCAAAAGGGGGTCAACCCGGTACTAGTACGGTGTACCTAATAAAGTGGCCTGTGAGCATTTACCACATATAGTTTTTTTTGTCCTGGATTTATTTGAAATGTGCAAATAGTTTTTAGAAAGTTTTATTTTTGAATTTTGCAGTAAATGAATTTAAAAACTAAATGAAAATGAGCATTTCAGAGTCAACTAGACTATTAACTTCTACATTTTTGCCAGTTTTTATGGTTTCAGATTTAATTGAAAACATGAACTATAATGTTGTTTACACTACTGGTCAAAAGTACTTTATTCACCAAAGATGCATTACATTTCATCAAAAGGGAAAGTTTAACAAAGAACCCCGAGTTTTTTTCAAAAGGATTTTATAAGAAACGTTTCTTCAGCAAATCTGCATATTAGAGTGATTTCTGAAGGATTGTGCGACAGAAACATCAAGATATTAATAAAGAATGTTTTATTTGAAGTCATTTGTGTTGACATATTTTTAGCTACATTTCATTTAAAGAAAGCCAAAAATCTGCTTCATGGTTTTAGCTTTAGTTAAAGAGATGTAACTTTCCTCGGTTCATTCACACTCAAGTGGTTCTAAACGTTTATAAATTCCTTTCTTCTGTTCACAAAACAACATATTCTGAAAAAAGCAGCCATTGACATCAATAGCAGGAACAAAAAATACTGGAAATCAATGGCAGCCGCTTTCCAACATTGTGTTAAATAGGCAGTGGCTCACCTGAAGTCCTCCAGTGCCTCATGAATCATGTTACGGACAAAGTTCATCTGTACAGAAGTGAGTGGAGCAGAATCCACTGCTGCGGCTGGAGCTGAGGAGAAACACACATTTCATCCTATTTAAACCTCTTCAAGCTGAAGGCCATGACATACTTAAAGGGACAGTTTACGCAAAGCTGAAAGTCCTAGTCATCATTTACTCTCCTTTCACTTGTTCCAAACTTGTTTGTGTTTCTTTATTTTGAACACGAAGGCAGAGATGAAAAATGTTTGGAAATAACAGACATCGACTTCTACAGTATTACTTTGTTCCTATGGATGTCAATGGCAGCTCTTTTCCCCAATATTTTCTTCAGAATATCTTGTTTGTGTTCAACAAAAAGTTTGGACCGATTAAGTGTGAGTAAATGAATAGGACATTTTCTTTATTTTGGTGAACTATCCACTTAAAGCAAAATCCATTGTTTAGTTTAAACCGTCAGGAAAAAAATGAGTCAAAAATAAGTCTTTCCCTAAAAGTTAAACAATCTTGATTTCCCTTTGAAATGCAGATATATGGACATTTTATACATAAAAAGTAGAGCAGTTTTAATCTCTAAAAATCAATTGAAGTGAACTGGACCGGAAGTGTCCCGTCAAAAACATTCAAATGGCGGCATCCACTCGTACATGAAGAATAAAGTCAATAAAGCATGTGCTATCCCGCTGGTGCCATTTGGATTAGCTTTTTGACAGATTTATGCACTTTTGAAAGCTTTAAAAATGAGCCAGTGTCCATCATTATACCGCATGGAAGAGCCAGGACAAAATGTCAACCTACTCCAACTGTGTTCATCTGACAAAAGAAAGTCATATTCAAAGATAATGGTCATTCAATGATGGTGACGTTTTCATTTGTGTGTGAACTTTAGTAAGCATACCAGCAGCAGCAGCAGCAGCAGCAGGAGAAGCAGGAGCTCTGCTGATGGGGGAATCATATGTGAGCTGTGTGGAAAGATCTCTCCTCTGACTGGGCTCTGGTGTGTTGAACTGAGGCTGAACGGACTGAATTCGCGTGCTCTGAGCTGCAGGCGGTGTGGTGATGGCATCATACTCCTGCCGTACACCGTTACTCTTCTCCACCTTTCAACAACACAGAGAAACAACTCAATTTATGTTTCCACAGCGAACTGAACCAACAATTGTTCCAGCATATGTTATACACAGCGGATATCCTTCCTGCGACAACCCAGTACTGGAAAACACCCATATGCTCTCCAATCCACACACACACTCATATGCTACA